TGGTCCTTTAATACCAGTGTATTTTGTACAGTGATGTGTCTTGTATGTCCTACTGATTGATACCCCTCCCCTCCCCTACTAAATCAATTATATATCAATGATGGTCCTTTACAATACCAGTGTTCATACATGGTTGATAACAATCTTGTGTCTCTTGTGTTTCCGTGACGTTGGTACACACAGTACATGACAGTCATCAGCTAGTGAGAAAAAAAAACAAACCAACTACGATTACTTTTAGTAGGATGGTTTTTCATGCTGTGCTGGGTTTCGTTTGATCATATCTTCCGTGTGACTTTTAGGTACAACTTTTTAGTTAATTAACGTCATACTCGGGAGACAGGACTCCTATCAAAGGGGGGATGCTCGTCGCACCAGATCAGCGAATTAGTCCCCTCCTCTCCCCAACATCAGCGGTCTTTTATACTTCCTTAGCATTGACTAAATGACTCTAGTTTAGGCATGAATTAAAGACCCATTGTCACTTACCGTGATGCACCGCGGTCACAGATGAATTTTGTGGTCCATGAAATTCAAAGATTCATATATTGAATAATAACTTCATATTAAATCCTTTTCCAACATAGCACTAAGGCACAATAATGATTTTTTTACATTCTTTTACAGCTTTAGGGACTATTTAAGAGTTTATTCAAAAGGTTGGAATTGTTTTTTCAGTGGTGAACACGATTCAAAATGTAAACAAATTGTTATGCATCACGGTAAGTGGCAATGGGTCTTTAATGAATTAATTAAACCTGCTGTTTTTTTACTTATCCCGCGAAATATTGTGACGTTCTGTCAACAATCTTGTAGTATTGACTCTTGTAGTAACGAAAAGAGCCGGTGCTACGTCTGAGCCTTGATAACGCACCGCAGCAAAAGAATAACGGTTTCAGTGGCGAGACGAGAGTCTTGGAGGTCGAATTAAGGTGGGTGCATTTTAGGACATTTTTTTATCATTGACAATTGATTACGATTACGATACCTTCAAAATCAAATTCTCGCTGCATATTGAAAAACAATTATTAGTTAAAGAAAATAAAGAAAGTATTCATCAAATAATAATTTTTTTGGTAAAACACTAAATATATTATTTGCCTGCCTAAATTGACAAAATGGATCATGATATGAAAACCCTTAAATAAAGGTATCAATGAATTAAAACATCTTACCTTTTACTTGTTCATAGCATACTTGATTTCTTCTACTGTATGAACCCATCCATGAGCGGTCACAACCTTGTACACTTCCATCACAAGATGAGGGAAATACTCCAGAAACACAAAGTCTTCCAGTAACATCTTCCTGATTGCTTTTGGTCGTGTGCCTTCAGAGACATGAGCGTAAGCATTTCGCACAAACCGCACTAATTCTACTACAGAGTGAGTATCGTAAGACTTTCTCTTGCTGGACGTCATTTCAGCAAAGATATCAGGCATGTCCTTATACCTTGGGTCATTCCACACTCCATGCTCAACTATGGTACTAAAGCTCTTCTCCAAGTCGGTCTCCACAGCAGATAGACAAGTTGATCTTCCCGCAAGTGGGTATTCAAACACTGTCTGGTTTCCGACAGCAACAAGAACATCGACTTTTTTCTCACTCGACCAGAATATTGGATGATCCAAAGCTTTTCCTGCCGTTGGTCGATCGTTTTTATCAATATCAAGCATGTTCTTCATTAGGTGAGTAGCTTCTGGAGAAAGACAGTCATCCCATCCTTCTATTCTCCCATTTGTCATGTTGGTTTCTATTTCATGAAGCATTTGACTATTGTTCTTAGAATATGGGTGTTTTTGTACTGACAGGATGTAATAAAGAACAAGTCCACATGAAAACATGTCGGATGCCTTCGAATGATCCCGAATATCCACCAACACTTCTGGAGCCATCCAACACCTCGTTCCTGCATTAGTACCATACACTGTGGTTGCGCTATTATCAATGCGACGGCTGAGACCAAAGTCTGCAATTTTCAGACGAAGATGAGGATGTGTTTTGTAAAGAATGTTCCCTGGCTTCAGGTCGCGATGAATAATATTCTGCTCATGAAGAAACGTCAACCCCTTGACTACATCTTGACAAAGGTGAGTACTTTTTGTGACGTCAAATGTGGAACCATCAGTAAGGTACTCGTCAAGATTTCCTTCCATCAGTTCTAAAACAATGTATGAGAACTTTTCCTCTTCGAAGAAATACAAATAACGAACAATTTGTTCGCAGTCTGCAAGCGCTGTGAGATTTGTAATCTCTCGTTTGTCTTCTGGTCGCTGCATACGTAATTTCTCAATGCGCTTGACGGCCACTTCTCTGCCATCCTTTTCATTGATTCCAACAAAGACAAGTCCAAACGATCCACTTCCTACGTGTTCGTTATGACACCAAAATTCCTCATGGATCAAATCGCACTCTTGTCGCCTAGCAACTTTGGCCAATTTTACTTCGTATTTCTTTGACGTAGAAGTCCATGGAATGAGTACAGACACTGGGTCGATATCTAAGGGTTCGGTGAGGAGTTCTTTAAGAGCATCAGAAGAGTCTGCCATGTCCAAGCAAGAATTGCCATCAGCTCCATACAATCGAAGGATCTTAATGATTTCACAATGGACAGACGAGTGTTCAATCTTTGCTTGTATTGAAAAGATTGATGGGTCCATTCTTCTTTTCTTTGATGTAGGTTGCCAATCATCATCTCCTTCTTCATTAGATGAAGACGGATACTTCCCTTTTGCATTGTTATCATCCAATACGCTACTTTGTAGCATATTTCTACAGCAAAGACGAAGTGGTTCCGACGCATTTGTGGGACCTTTCCTTGCCTTCAAAATATCGAGGACAATAATGCTTTTCCAATTCGTTCGTGTTGATTCGTCTTTACAGATGGCATTCAAAAGACCAACTGCAAATGTCTCGGACTGAGTGTATTTCCGGTCACAAGCCACGTCGATCAAAGCTTTGGCAAGAACAAACTCATTGTGTCTAATGAGAATATTCAAAACTGACTCACCCTCTTTKTCGCCTGTCCATGGATCAAGCCCCTTGTCAATGGCAGTTTCCCAAAAGGATTTTGGATCTGCTAAGKTTGAAACATCTGGGTAAAGACGATTCTGATAATGACCATCATATAGCACCTTTTTCTTAGACGCGGCAGCAAGAGGTGATGTTTCTGATGAATCGACAACGTTAGTCTTTGCTCCAGCATCAAGCAACAGCTTCACAGCTATCCAGGTCTTGCAYAAATGTAAAGGGGTTTGATCGGCACYATTTCTGACATTCAGTTTTACTCCACATCTTACGAGGTAGTTTAACAATGTTTGTAAGAATTTGTCAAATGTGAGATCTTTAGTAACATTACTGGTATAGTCTTGAGGTGATGGTAATTCTAGTGATGCCCAAAGGTGCAGTGGTGAGTTGAGATCAGCATCAGGTATGTTAATACTCTGTGTTTTTGCTACTTTTGCAGATGAAAATAATTGTAAAAGCTTTATTGCTTCATGCATGACATCTTGTCTTACCGTGTTATCACTTAAGCAAAGTCCTTGCTGGAAAAGCTCTAGTATTAAATGAAAAACAGTTTTTCCACTTCGAGACCTTTCTTCAATGCTAGATCCGTGTTTTGACAAAACTTTACAGACTTCAACCAATGCTTGAATCGCAGAAGATGTAGTTTGATTATCTCTTAACCGGGTTAGTATGTTTTGAGACAAACAAAACAGAAGAGGTGTTTGATTCTCATGATTTCTCAAGTTTAATTGTACACCAAAGTTCTCCAGCTGAAGACAAATCTCCTTCACGATCTTTTGAGGCACACCAATCAACGGTAAACAAGTCGCATAGTGAAGGGCTGTATTACCATATGAATCAACACTATTAGGATCGGCACCTAACTCAACCAATAATCGTAAAGCTTCTGKTACYTTTTCTCCATTTGTACATTTTCCATTTACCAGCCTAATCAAAGATTCCACTTCCCAATGATTATCAATAAACTGACTAGCTTGTTTCAGGGCTTTAGTAATATGAATTTGACTACAACATCTAAAGGGCATATCTCTCTTCTGCTCTAACTTTGACCTTTCTAGGAACATCAAAGAAAACTTACAGAAAACCATATTTAAAATTGCTTTAGCAAATGTTATTTTCTGTACT